TCCTAGAAGGTTAAATGTCCCGCTGCAAGTGGATGGCAGCTCTAGGCCGACCTCACCCACCACGGACCCAAGTCGCGGTCACCGCTCACTCTGAGGATGACGGTGCGAGGGGCTTGAACCCCACGGCCCCCCTTCCTGAGGGAAGTGGGGGAGCAGAGGAGTTGAGCCTGGACTCTGGAGTCAAACCTCGGCTGGAATCTTGGCCCTCAGTCACACGAGTGTCAGCCCTGTGACTCGGCCAGTCAGCTTCCATTTTGTCTTCTGGAGAAGAGGACTGATGGCACTGCCTGCCTCTTGCGAGATAATGCAGTGAGGCAGGGCAGAGGTGCTCAGTAGCGCGCAGGCTTCAGCTCGCCTCCTGGCAGGGAGGCCCTGCGCCCAGCAAGCCTGCAGCCCTGAGACCTGGGCTCCAGGCCCTGGCGGACCGAGGATCCTGCGCCCGAGCGACACAATCACCATGTTCCTCTCTCCTTGCTCTGGCTCTGCCTCGCCCCTGGACCACAGCTGCTGGGAGTGACCACGACCCGAGAGCCTGGCCTCACCCCGAGACGGGGGCGCGTCCTTTACTGGCCACATCTCCTGCCAGTGCTGGTTAGCTCTGACTGCACAGGGAGCGCAGTCCTCAGAGCCCGCCATGAGCCCCTGTTTTACCTTTGCTACTTCCAGGAGGCTCGCCAAGCTCCCTCTCGACAGGAGGGGTGGCAGTTTCCCAGCAGAGGGCCCGCGGCTGCCTGCTCAGTCCGTCCCGCGGGCCGCGGCAGTGCAGACAGCGGCCGCTGGGCGGCGGGGGAGCCTCGCTGCCTGCTCGCTCGCGCCCTGCCGGCCGGGCGCCGCGCCCGAGCGGGGGTTGCCACTCCACTTGGGGTTCGCTCTCACGTACGTTCTTTTGAAAATTCACTGCGATGTCCCTAATTCCCGCGGACAGCTCTCGCAGGCGTCAGGCTGCCGGAGCGGCTTTACAGCCCGATGGGAAAAGCGAAATCACCTCAGCTCCTTCCGGGCGCGGCCCAAGCAGATTGTGTGATTGTGTTTGCCGTCGAGTTGTGAGCACCGATGGGCCAAAGGTCTGTGGGGTGCAGAATTCGCGGATTCCACGGCTGTGGCCTCAAGAGCAGGATTGCGGGCACACGGCGCGTTGCCCCACGAGAGCCCAAAAGGTTTCCTCCCGGAGATGGGGCATTCAGCCCGTCTCGAGTGGGAAGCAGCTACCCCAGCACCTCTTCTTTCAGTTCCGTTCCCACTGGGCTCCAACTAGCCAGGGGCATCCTCTTTTTTTTTCCTTTTAAGATTTACCAATGCATACAGAACTGGGGTGCAAGCCAGAGGTGCAGGGGCCGTGAGAGGCTTCACAGAGTGGGGAGCAGGACAGGCAGACTGACCAAATACACTGCTGCCGGGAGCAGCGGGCGGGTCAGAGAGGTCTGCTGCGCCCCGATCGAACTCGCACGGAGTCGGCAGCAGCTTGCAGTGCTGCTTCCGAAGCCGCTGCGCCACCACGAAGGCCCGGGCCTCCTCTTAACAAAACAGTCAGAAGGAACAAAGAAGGGAGAATAGAATGGCCAGGAGCGCTGGCAAAGCCGGCCTGCAGTGGGGCAGTCAGCAGCGCCATCTGCACAGACAGAGGAGCGTGTCTCAGGAGTCACTGAAATCTGCACGGGAGCGTTGACATGGAGGAGCTGCTGCACCAGGAGGCGAGCGGAAGGGGACTGGGCCGGCGGCAGGCTGGCGGCCACAAGGGTCTGCAGATCCCTACGCTAGAAAGGCCAGAAGTCGCACTCGCACGCATGCGACTCGGAGGGAATCCCCTGAACGGGAAGGCAGAAGTGGCTCGCGGTCCTGACTTCTGCAGGTGAGCAGACGAGGGCTGGGCACGGGAGCGGGGCCGCTGCGGTGCGGATCCGGATCGAGACTTGGACTCAGCCGTGAGCAAAGGCGGGGCAGACGGCTCTGCGGGAAGCGGCTCTCTGGGCTCCCGGGAGCAGTCACCACCGAGCCCGCAGCTCCCGCTGCTGCGCCGCATGTGAATACCAAGCGCGAGCCCTTGCGTGTTTACCTGGAGGCCACCTTAACAGAACCGTAACTGCCGGCCAGAAAGTAGAAGCAACAACAGCCCGTTGCCTAAGGAGCAAGTGTGTCCATTTTTACGGCCTTTGCAGCCTTCGCCCACGCTTGGGCATGCGGCCCAACAGAACACCAACACCCCAACCAGCAAGCCGGCCAGGTCGGGTCCTCGAACGCCCCGGTCTTCACCTTCTTTTAAAACCAATTCCCATCGATCAGCAACAACAGGTCATTCCTCAAAACACACCAGAACTGGACAAGTCCCACTGCACCCACCCCGCTACTCAACCCCCCTCGGAGTCCTCCCCTCACGTGGGCACTGCAGCTGCCTGGGAACTGCTGCCACCCACCCCAGCCTCCACATGGCATGGAAGTCACGTGGGCCGACGTGATGTACATGCCAGCTCGCCTCTGGCAGCCTCATTCGCTCCTTCCAGCCACACTGGCCTCCTGGGCCTCCCTAGGTCCTGCTGACCACGCTCCTGCTCAGCCTGGAATGTTCCCCCCACACCCGCGTGGCTGGCTCTCCCATTCCCTTGAAGCCCTGCCATCACCTCACCCGTGAGACCTGCCCCTGAACAGATGTTCCATGAATCCTGCTTACGTGATGGAGCCCACAACACACGACTAGCAGCTACGGCAGATTATTGCACTGGCTCCCCAAGGGTGCGAGATGGGAGATGATCTTAGATGGTACAGAAAGATGCATTAAGTGTCACTGAATAGGTGGATGGAGTCTTTTCCCTGCTTTAATCCCTCTCCTTATGTCAAGATCACAGCTGGAGCTATTTTGTTGCTAATCCGAGCTAGTTCATCCTTTTGAAGAATGGAGAACAGGGCCTCACATGCAGAGCCTGCAGAAAGACTTCTGTAGGGAGTAGCGTCTGGCTGGAATTTTAATAACCTTGTTTTAGTTTTTATTTTTAAGGACATAGCTCAACTATTGCCTGGCAACGTGTTGATACTCATTTATGTTTTCATACATTTTTCTAAGATTTTTATTTATTTATGCATACAAGAACTGGGCGACAGGACAGGTGCGGGGGTGGGGTGAGAGGATTCATCAGAGACAGAGTGGGGAGCAGAACAGGAGGGTCCACTGAAATAGGCTGCTGAGGGGCCTGCTGCACCAGGTGGGTCACCTTCTGGGCCGAGGATCAAACTCCAAACTCCGGCTGACAGCACTGAGACTTTAACCCCAGTGCCTCCAGCCTGTTAATATTTAAATATTGCAACAACTCTTGTGACAAAGCTATCATTTTGCAAATGAGGAAAAGGTGGACAAGGTTTCCTTTGAGCTAAATGTACAAAAAGTGAACCATTCACTTCCGTGTTTAGTATTCCCGCTGCTGCGTAATAATCTCATCAGCCTAAAATACCATATACCCTTTAGTAGCCCCTCAATCTCGTCACCCCTCATCTACTCTTCCGTCTCCAGTCACCCAGACTGGACATTTCACATGAACGGAATCCTGGCCATGGACTTGGGCGGCCTTTTTTTTTCTTTCACGTATGTTTTCAAACTTCATCCGTGTTGACGAGAGCCTCAGCATTTCACTTTCTTGTGACCAGATACTACCTTTAGTCTGGAAAAAACACCCCTGTCTAACTCTGGCCGACAGGTGGCCATTTAGATTATTTACACATTTTGGCTATTAAAATGCTGCTGCTCAAAAAATAAAATACAAAAATGCAGGCGCCACACAGGCTTGTCCGCACATGCTTCTCCCTGTGTGCCTCGGGGAACTGCAGAGCCAGAAGGCAGCCAGCGTGCAACCCTGCTTTTCGCTTTCTCCGCGTAACTTCCCGAGTGGCCTTCCCCTTTTAAAAACATCCCCACCGGCGGCTACCACCAGCCCGTCGCCCCACATTCTACCAGGCACTTGGGGGTGCCCGTTCATTTTAATTTTACCAACTGCGAAAGACCTAACAACTACAAACAGGTGTTTCACTGTTTTCAATTTGACTCTCCCGCTGGACCTTAACGTTCAGCATTTTCACGGGCTTCCGGTCTGGGCCCCGTTCAAGTTCTCGGCCCACTTTTGGGGGGCCCCCCTCGTGGCGGACCGTAAAGGCGCCCGCCCTGGCTACCCCAGAATGCACTTGGAGGACAGCACGAGCGCGCGGCCGCGCCCTCGGGGGCCCCGGGGGC